GTTAATGGCAAACACTTCTTGTATCTGGAGAGATTGAAAAATTATTCAACTCAGGGCACCTGGGTGGCTCAGGTCATGATCTCAGGGGTCCTAGGATCGAGCCCCGCATACCCTCTCTCTGCCCCTCTGCTCGTGCTCTCTCTCACATAAATAAATAAATAAAATCTTAAAAATGATTCAACTCTTAGCTACTTTTTGGACTTTACTGAAAATACATATCAAAGGAAAGGAATGAACCCTAATATCTGCTCAAGTGACCTCCCTGTTTTCAAATTCTCTCTCAGTCAAGGACTTACTCCTTGTGAGCTACTGCCACTTTCTCTACCCATTTGAGGTTTCCCTTCTTCAGGACTGGCTAAATAAAAAGATGAGTTATCTTCCGCTTGAACTGACCTTTCCTCATCACTCATATTTCCTCTTACAGATAAACTCCCAGGCCCATTTCATTGTAAGGATTTTCTGCTTAATAACAGATGCAAAAGAGATACAAAGATTAAGAAGTCTTTTGCCCCTATTCTAGAGCACCCAATTTTTTTCTTAGAATTAGAATTTTCTTAATTACAATGTTCTAATCCCTTGGCTAAAGTGCAGTATGGAAAAACAATGAACAGGGTACCGGGGTAAAGAATCAATTCGACTTCTCATATCACTACTACCAGTTACTATTTAATATTGGGAAATTATCTCACTAGACAGGACCAAAAGAGACAACAGTAGTAACTTCGAAGGGTGGTTATATAAGGTACAGAAAATAGAAGTAAAATACCTAGCACACAGCATGCCACATGGTACTGCTTAATAAATACTATTACTGTCATTCTCTAGCATTCTGCATTAGTGAGTTAACATCACTAGATTCTTCTCAGCCCCATTCTGCCAATTCACTTTCAGTGAATAGTTTTTCATTACAAAGAATACAACTGATCAGCATGCAGCTTTCCAGGTTACGCTCACATGACAGGCCTCCCAGGCCAGTCTGAATGGGCCTGGGAATCTCAAGCTCTCTCCTAACTATACACAAGATCTGAAGCTCCTTTACAACATATTCTGCCTCAACTCAGTTTAATTCCCATTTCAACCTGGGGACTACAGATCATTCCTAGCACATCAGAAAAATACTGTATTCTGCCTTTGCAGCTAAAAATGAGACAAAAACAATTTTTTTTGTTTCTAAAAACCTACTGCAAATTGCATCCATGCTCTCCTCTTTAAAAAAGTACAAACACAAGAATTTTAAATTATTTTTACACATCAGCGTAAATTTTAATTTACATTTAATTTACATGTTATTGACAGGTAGCATACCTTGCTTTTCTTCTGGACCATAGACAGTTTGGGGTAAGACTTGTATTTGGGCCTGAGGCCAAGCAAGACACCTCCGAAGAGCTATGCCACCCCACTCCTACAAAGCACCCTGAAATCACAGCTAAGAGCATCCAGAATGGCCCCAAGTCAAAAGTTCCCACCACCTGATCTGCAGGGCTTATAGTTATTACTATAAACATTTTAAGATAACTAGAAAATAAAAGAATCAAAGTAAATAATTCACATTTCTTACTCAGTATTTCACTAGGTTTCTGTGTGTCTGAAATCAGGTGCCACCACACGATCATAGGACCTTGATATTTACCAATAATGAAAGATTCTTTTACATAGTCCATTGGCCAAATTCCAATTTGAGAATCTGCCTCTACATATTAAAATTCTCAAAATGTTACTTTATCAGTCAGGTAGTTATTAAGAACCAACCAAATGTTCCAGACTACGATGGATGGTAAGGAGGAGACTTCAGTGACTGTGCCAAGAGCTTACGAAATTTAGCAGTCCTGACTGCTAGCACAGTATGACAGACTGCTAGATCTGCTAGAGGGTTCAGTGAACACCACAGGACTCTGTATCCTACACCAGAGACATTAACAAATGGCAATGTACGGATCAGGACTTTTTTTAAAGTCATGGTTCTTTCAACAATCATTGTAAGATAATTATGGCACTTGGCATTCAATCTCTGTATTAAGTAGTTTCTATACATATAAAGAGTACAGAAATAATTTAATATAGAAAGTAAAATGCAATAGATCCAAATAGATGAGAATTTTAAAATTTTCACTGGGCGTCTACAGAGCATGATATGGACTCCCTCTGCTGGTGCCTAATACCAGCTCAGGACACCAACAAAATCACTGACAAAAGAACAGAGGCCGAAGGCTAATCTAAATTCACTTCTATTTAGATTAGAGGATGTTTCACAGCAGATATGATTATGGATCAATCAAAGGCAACCCTAAAAATGATCGCATTTTATTGCAAATGCTAAAAAAAATACATAAATAACCAGCAAATTGTAAATCTCAATTACTGTGCTATTAGAACAGATAATTTAAAATTTATTTTCATCTGGACTGCATTGTGTGATTTTTAACAGCATATTTTCCTTCCAAAATAGATGTCTCTCTGTTTTCATTTTGGTTCAAATTAAATTATTTTTCATCTGATAACCTGATGAAGAGATCAGAGATCGGAAGCGAATGTTGACCTGTGATTAATCCCCAGAGCACACAAATCACACCTGATTATTTGAGAGAACAGAACGGTACAAGCTAGTTACAACTGTCACCACAGCTATGGCTTTTTACACTACTCCACTTCTGTAAAACTCATGCAACCGCTACTGTGCCCTAAATGCAATTAATATACCAAAATAGATCTATATATAATGAAAGCAAACTTCCAACTTCCAGTAGTAGCAGAGTAGTTTGGTTAGACGAACCCTGCCACAGTATAATTATAAATTCTGGACAAAAGATTAAAAATTCATTATTTGAAGGCACTAGAGACGGACCAAAATCAGGCAGAAATTGCAACTAGTGAGATTCGGGAATTTGTGACCTTTTGTTCAATCCACAAACAGTTGGGACAGCCTCACCTTACTGGCTTTGAGTTATCAGAGGACAGTTCAGGCTTGCAGAGTAGCCAGAAAACGAGGGGAGAAACGCCAGAGGGAAAGGCAGAAGGAGTAAAGCCCAAAACATGCCTATACAATCCACCCAATGTTTCTGCTTCCTGCCAGGGGGATCCAGCAATAAAGCAGCAGTTGGAAGCTGAAAAGACTGAGCAGAAAGTTCCGCTACTGCCCAACACAAGGAAGACAAGAGTTTGCAGTTTGAGTTGAAGGCTTGCACTTGCTAGAACAAAAATCACATTTCAGAGCAATACAAAAGAATCCAGAGTCTCTACAATATATTAGTCATAATATCCAATCACAAAGTATAGCAAAAAAAAGGTGACCCACGCTCAAAAAAAAAATGCAGTCAACAGAAACCAACTCCAAGAAGACCCAGATGATGCAATTAGCAGTGACAAAGGACCTGTATCTAGACTCCAAAAAAAAGAAAACTTAATGATAAAAATAAACCAATTTTTTAAAAAATGAGCAAAAGACTTAAGTAAAAAAAGAAAAAAAGATTTACAAGGCCAGTAGGTACAAAAAAAGAGCTTAACATTTGTCATCAGGGAAATGCAAGTTAATACAATGAGATGTCACTTTACCACTAAAACGGCTAAAATTAAGACGACCTATAACACTATATATAGAGCACCCAGAATTTTCACACGTTGCCAGAGGGAATGTAAATTGGTACAGCCAGTTTGGGAAAAGGTTTGGCAGCTTTTCAAAACGTTAACAATATACTCAGCTATTAATCCAAATATCTACAAAAAGACTTATAAACTAATACTCAAAGCAGCTGTATTCACAATGGCGAAAACTGAGACAACCCCAAAGCTCCTGAATGGGAGAATGAATTTTTTAAAAATGGTGGTAAATATATACAATAGAACACTACTCCACAAGAAACAGAATGAGCTATTGATATATGGCACAACATGGATAAAACTCGCAGTTTAGTGAGTGAAAGAAGCTGGACACAAACAAGTACACACTCTATGATTACATTTATATGAGGTTTAAGTTAAGATAAAACTAAGGTAAAAAAAAAATCAGAACAGAGTTAAGTAACAAAAAAATATGGGTCAAACAAGAGTTTAGAGTTGATAGGGAAAGGAAATAGAGGTTTGCTTCAAGTTTTGAAATAGGACATAACTTACCAAAGTGGGATTTAATACTTTCTTGAGATTAAATTTTATTTCTTAAAACTTACTTTTAAATAAAAATTTCTCTAGGATGTGTCTGACCTGATTTGCTTTAGAGAGCTTCTAAACAGAGGTAACGTGTATGAAAGTTTCTAGAGCAAATGAAGATAAAGGCATGGATATTGCCTGGTGACAATATAACCTCTTTAAAAGTGGTTCTGATTTCAAAGAAAAGAGAACACAGATGTCAGAGGAGGGCCTAAGGTTTACAATGTGAATAATCTTTTTATTTTATTTTATTATTTTTAAGATTTTGTCAGAGTGAGAGAGCACGCACGAGTGCACAGGAGCAGGGGGGAGGGGCAGAGGGAGAAGCAGGCTCCGAGCTCAGCAAGGAGCCTGATGTGGGACTCGATTCCAGGATGCTGGGATCATGACCTGAGCCGAAGGCAGATGCTTAACTGACTGAGCCACCTGAGGGGGTCCCCAATCTTTTTTTTTTTTTTTAAGAATTTTATTTATTTGAGAGAGAGAGAGAGCTCGATCGGGGGGAGGAGCAGAAGAGGGAGAAGCAGACTCCCCAATGAGCAGGGAACCTGATGCGGGGCTCAATCCTAGGACCCCTGGGATCATGACCTGAGCTGAAGGCAGATGCTTAACCATCTGAGCCACTGGGGCGCCCATGGTTGTGAATAATCTTAACACAGGTTAAAACATAGGATTAATAGCTATTAAGAATGTTATATATCTGACACAATGTTGGACTTACTTCAAGTACAGGGTTTTTACTTTGCTATTCATTTTTTATTCTGACTACAGTAACTGCCCTATCCTAACTTTTCTATTAAAATACGTTTATCAAAGGGGGGAAAAAGTTCCTAGTAATAACAAGTTCCAGCATGCATTACCTTGTCCTGAAGGGTTTGCTGCCATATCTTCCTATTTTGTTTCAACTATGCTCAGTGGCAACTGGTCAGCACTTTACAGTCACCTGTAAAAAATATGTATACATATATATAAAATGCAGCATACTTTTGTAACAAACTAAAAGCTTTCAGGTAAAGCTAGCCTCCCTACAATGAAATGTTTTCAGTTTTTTCATCGCTTCAAAAATATACACCTGAGAAGCGCACAGACTTAAATCACAAATTTAAATTCTCCAAGCCCCTCAAGTATTTAATTAGAACGTTAAGGTTAAATGTTTACTCTTGCAGATGTTGATACCAACATTTAGCATTGCTGTCTTTAATATACACCATTACGCTGTATTTACCAAACACTACCAAATGTATCAACCAATTGATGGCATCAATACAATCAGCGCTAGACAGAAGAAAAAAAAAAATCACTCCTCTATGGTACTTCTTGATTCACTTAAAAAATATATCCAGCAACTACTGTATATGCTGAAAGCTAAAAAGGAAAACACTCCTAGAATTTATCAAGTACATACTCTGCACCATACACTGCGTAAGATGCTTGAAATTCTTTTACTTATCACCATTTTATAGATGGGGAGTTCCGTGCCCAAGCCCACAAAGCTAGTAAGAATACTTAGGGCTGTTAGTTTCCAACTTTGTGGGTTTTGTATTAGGCCTTGGGGAGATCGCAAATGAGCAAAGACCCTACTCCTCCCTTCAAGGAACACACAGTTCCAGCGGGAAAATACACTCTTATTCAAACAACCTTACTAAAAAGTTTAACAAACGCGCTCTTTAAAAGGCGCAAACAGTGCTCCGGAAGTAGAGAGGAACTGATTCTATTGGCGTGATGAGGGATGCCTTTAGGGGAACCCGGGCAAAGTACAAGTGCTGGCAAACAGATTTCGGTTTTGAACAAAATATCCTTACATGCCCCTGAAGCAGAAGCACAGGGCGAGCCAAGCCGGTTGGGACGAGAGGAAAGAGTGCCATCTAGTGAAGGGAAACATAAAGCAGGGATGAGACAGGGCGGCACCTGCGTCTCAAAGGGTCCTTGCTGGAGGGCGTGGAGGGCAGGCTGGGCGGCTGCGGCCAATATCCAGAGAAAGGGAAGTGAGGAAGGTGGGGAGGCCGCTACCCTATGGCAACAAAGACAGCAGCAGCAACAGATCAGCGCCGGGGCCACACACTTCCCTCCCCCGGCGCCGTCAGGCGGTCCTACTTACCAGGGCCAAGAAAGCGCCCAGGACCCTCCTCGCCTTCGGATCGCTCTCTCAAAGGGGGCGCGACCACTTAGAGACCTGCAAACAGAGCCCAACGTGCGGCTCTACAACCTTCCCGCCCCCGCTGCGCTTCCGCCTCCTGCCTGACGTACACCCGAAGGAACGGAAGTCCCGCCTCCCGCCCGCGCCCGGCAGCTGCTGCCCGCGGCGATCCGTCTTTTAACTGCTGCCCGGGTGCAGAAGGCCACTTCCTTTCCGAAGTGTGGCAGCCGAAGAGGCTCATGGGAAATGCAGGCCGCGCTGTTGGGGGCGGGGCCCGAGTGGGGCGGAGCCCAGGCGGGGCGCGGAGACGCTTGCCGCTGGCTCTGCTGGGCAGGGGCGGGGCTGACACCCGCTGGGTCCCGAGCACCGCGAGTGGCCCTTTTCTCAAGGCCACCACTGTTCAGAGAAAAGTCACCAGCCCGGCTAGGCCTGCGACGATAGGATTGCACTTCGGCTGGGATGAGGGGAGGGCCAATCTTCACGGGCTGGGCTGGCTTTCGAGATTCAACAAACATCTGAGGTTGTACGCCCACACACATTCACAAATCCCAGGGATTTTTTTTTTTAAAGATTTTATTTATTTATTCATGAGAGACAGAGGAGGAGAGAGAGAGAGAGAGAGAAGCAGAGGGAGAAGCAGGCTCCTAAGGAGCAGGGAGCCCGATGTGGGACTCCATCCCAGGACCCTGGGTTCATGACCTGAGCCGAAGGCAGACGCTTAACCATCTGAGCCACCCAGGCGCCCTAGGGATTTTTTTTTTAATAGTTCGCATAATTATACATAAGAAAAGCACAAAACATGCAGAAGTTTTTGCTACTGTGCAATAATCTGTTCAAGAAGTGGCTGTGCCACATCTCAGAACACGAAGACCCTCCTAATGGGTTCACTTGATGCATGATTCCAGTGCAACGAATCTATATATTTACATTGGAAGGTAACCGTGTACTGATGTGTACCTGTTCTGTGGTCGGTAACCCCCGTTACGCATAGTTTCTAGAATTTGAACATACATTCAATGGTAAATGTTTACAATGCACAATTTTGTTGTGCACGGATCTAGGACTGAAGTAATAACACTATCAAGCATTTATTGAGTGCCTTCTGCACGCTAGATTCTTCTTGTGCATGAGTTCTGGTCCTATCATTTCCTGATTTATATATTATTTATATTTACATATTTATATATGAAACTTAGAAATGTTGGGTTACTTTATGTCAAGTAACAAGCTGAGTTTCAAAGGAGTAAATGTTTGCCAGATGCTAAGGCCCATGTTCTTAAATCTCACACATTGTCTCTGCTCTGGAGGAAGGAATTTCTTTGAGGCCAGCTCTTGTTGGCATCTTTAATACAGATATAAAGTGTAATATGTGAGCATTCTGGTAGTCGGCCAGGGCGGCTTTTCAATTAAGAGGACTTTTTGAGGGGTGCCTGGCTGGCTCAGTTGCAAGAACACAGGACTCTTGATCACGGGGTTGTAAGTTGGAACCCTAGGTTGGGTGTGGAGATTACAATCAATCAGTCAATTAATATTTAAAAAAAAAAAAAAAAAGAGGCCTGCGGTGCCTGGTTGGCTCAGTTGGAAGAGCACCGGACTCTTGATCTCAGGGTTGTGAGTTCGAGCCCCTTGTTGGGTGTAGAGATTACTTAAAAAAATAAAATAAAATAAAATCTTTACCAAAAAAGGGGGGGCAATTTTGAGTCCTGAATTGACTAAAAAGACAACTGGGATGTATATGGCTGACAAAACCTTAACGAATTTTTTTTGGTGTTAGGTGGCGTGACTAGACAATACAGAAATTAGGGTATAAGAAAGCTCCAGTCGGGCGCCTGGGTGGCTCAGTTGGTTAAGCGACTGCCTTCGGCTCAGGTCATGATCCTGGAGTCCCGGGATCGAGTCCCACATCGGGCTTCCTGCTCAGCAGGGAGTCTGCTTCTCCCTCTGACCCTCTTCCCTCTCGTGCTTTCTATCTCTCGTTCTCTCTCTCTCTCAAATAAATAAATAAAATCTTAAAAAAAAAAAAAAAATTAAAAAAAAAAAAAAAAAGAAAGCTCCAGTCTAAGTCTGATTTGTTTGTTTAAGTTTTTATTTAAATTCCAGTTAGTTAACATACAGTGTAATATTAGTTTCAGATGTAGGATTTAGTGATTCGTCACTTACATATAACACGCAGTGCTCATCACAGTGCGCTCCTTAATGCCCGTCCCCCATTTAGACCATCCGCCACTCACCTCCCTCCAGGAGCACTCAGTTTGTTCTCTATAGTTAAGATTCTGTTTCCTGGTTTGCCTCTCTTTTTTCCCCCCCTATATTCATCTGTTTTGTTTCTTAAATTTCATATATGACTGAAATCATATGGTATTTGTCTTTCTTTGACTTATTTTGCTTAGCATAATACCCTCTAGCTCCATCCGTGTTATTGCAAATGGCAAGATTTCACTCCTTTTAATGGCTGAGTAATATTCCATTGTGTATATATACCACAACTTCTTTATCCATTCATCAGTCGATGGATATTTGGGCTCTTTCCATAATTTGGCTATTTGTTGATAATGTTGCTATAAACATCAGGGTGCATGTCTCCCTTTGAATCAGTATTTTTGTATCCTTTGGGTAAATACCTAGTAGTGCAATTGCTGGGGCATAGGGTAGTTCTATTTTTAACTTTCTGAGAAACCTCCATACTGTTTTCCAGGGTGACTGCACCAGTTTGCATTCCCCTCAACAGTGCAAGAGAGTTCCCCTTTCTCCACATCTTCCCAACATCTGCTGTTTCCTGTGTTGTTAATTTTAGCCATTCTGACAGGTGTAAGGCCATATCTCATTGTAGTTTTGATTTGTATTTCCCTGATGATGAGTGATGTTGAGCATTTTTCATGTGTCTGTTAGCAGTCTAAGTCCTAATGGACATTCTGAAAAAAGCTCATTTATGGAGAAAAGGGGAAAAAAAAAAAGAGTTCTACCTCCAGAACAATATTTTGTAATTTCCTGGCAAGTTCAGCCTCCACGCATTGGGAGAACATTATCAGGAGAAAGATAAAATTAACTTGCTCCTAATTGTTTTGCCCTTTACTTGGTGGGTGTTAGCCCTTGAACCCCCTCTGTCTTCTACCTGAGAGTTTTGGAACTTCTGCCTCACAAGAATTTTGACATCTTGGTTAAGAGTGGATCAGTTTACTTGGATTCAAATCCTGGCTCTAACACTTAATGACTGTGAGCCCTTGTTTAACCTTCCAATGCTTCAGTTCTGTCATCTATAAAAAGGAAATAAAAATTAAATGAATAACCACTTCACATCCACTGGATGGCTACTATAAAAAACAAAATAAAATAGTAAGTGTTGGCAGGGAAATTGGAACCGTTGTGCACTGTTGGTGGGGATATAAAATAGTACAACCACTGTGGAAAACAACATGATGGTTACTCAAAAAATTAAAAATAGAATCACCATATGATTTAGCAATTCCACTTCTGGGTGTCTACACAAAATTATTGAAAGCAGGGCCTCAGAGACATACCTGCATACCTGTATTCATAGCAGCACTATTCACAGTAGCCAAGAGGTGGAAGCAACCCACTTGTCCATCGGCACATGAAAGAATTAGCAAAATGTGGTATAAGCATACACTATAACATTATTCAGCCTTAAAATAGAAGGTAATTCTGACATATGCTACAGCATGCATGAACCTTGAGGACCTTATGCTAAGTGAAATAAACCAGTCACAAAGGGCAAATACTGTGTGATTCCACTTGTATGAGGTACTTAGAGTAGTCAAAAATCGTAGAAAGTAGAATGGTGTTTGCCAAGGGCTGAGGGGAAGGGGAGAATGGAGAGTTGTTGTTTAATGGGTTATAGAGTTTCAGTTTTACAAGATGAAAGGAGTTCTGGAGATGTCTGGCGGGGATTGTGGCAACTATGAAAGATCTGCATTTTCTTGCACACCTTGGTATTCAGTCATAGGTCAGCTGATAAATACACAGATCCTACACATCAACTAGGGAGGAGTCCAAGATAAAAGGAATGCATAAGACAGTCCTGTGGCTCTGTTAATTGATAAGGAAATTGATAAGACTGCCAGGTAGCAGTCTATGAAGGCATTATGAATATTATGGGCCTTTAATATCAAAGTAAAGAGTTGAGAAGAGTTCCCAGTTTCCAGCTGGAGCTACCTTAACTCTCTTTTGCTATTTTGTGATTAAATATTTATGGGGAATGCATTAAGCTAGAAAGCCTTTAAAATAAAGTGTGTAGAAGTTTGAGACAATTGCCATATTAATTATCTATTGCTTGTAATAAATTACCTCCAAACTTGGCAAGTTTTTAAGAGATTTATTTATTTATTTATTTGAGAGAGGGAGAGAGAGCACGTGCGCAGGAGAGAGGGGGGTGGGGCAGAGGGAAAGGGAGAGACAGAATCCCAAGCCAACTCCCCACTGAGCACAGAGCCCAGTGCAGGGCTGGATCTCAGGATGCTGAGATCATGACCTGAGCCAAAACAAAGAGTCAGATGCTTAACCAACTGAGCCACCCAGGGGCCTCCAAACTTGACAATTTATAACAACAAATGTACATTCTCTTATAGTTTCTGAGGGACTGGAATGTCGGCAGCACGGCTGGGTGGTTCTGGCTTAGGGTCTTTTGTAAGGTTGCAGCCAAGATCCTAACTGGGGTTGTAATCATTTGAAAGCTCAGTTGGATGAAAGGATCTGCCTCAAGTTTACTCACGTGGCTGAGGGCAAGAGGCTTCAGTTCCTCAACCTGCAGGCCTTTCCACAGGGTTGCTCATGACATGGCAACTCACAGCTGGAGCACGTGATACAAGAGTGAGAGAGAGTGACCAAGACAGAAGCCACGGTGTCTTTCATCACCCGATCTTAGGAGTGACATATCATCTCTTCTGCCATATACTGTTGCTCGCGGACCGGCCCTGGTACGGCCCTGGTACAGCGCAGAAGGGACTACAAAGCATACAGAGAGATAAGATCACTGGGGACTTAGTCCATTCAGGCTGCTATAACAGAATACCATAGACTAGGTGGCTTCTAAAGAACAATTTTATTTCTCACAGTTCTGGAGGCTGGGAAGTTCAAGATCAA